GCGATGTGATGTCTGTGTAATCATAATTTTGGCCCACCCTGTATAGTGTATTTAGGCTGTATTGCTGTAATCCTTATAGAGCTTCTCTTCATTTTTGTAATTTTCTAATTTTTGTAAAAAATATGGGGGCTTAATTTTTGCGAAATATGAGGGCTGAAAGTTTTGAGTGATTTTTTATCTTCGAAGGTGCACCCACTAATCCCCATAATAGTAATTATACATGCTCTAGAAATAAGGCAGTTAGAATTGGTTTGCGCTAGAGAGTATTCGGAAATAGGAGCACGATAAGGGAAAATTTGTTTGGAAAAGTTCCGAAATAAAGCTCCACTGTGTCAAGTGAGGTAGTTTGAGGATATTCTGGTGGATTACTTCTACATTTTTCCATTGAACATGAACATCTCTCCATTTCTCACGTTTTTGTGGGCTACCCACGTCAAACTGTCAACAGTTGTGCTTCTATACGATTCCTCGAAAATTCACATTCTCTTTCCTTCCTCTTCATCCGTCTCCCCCGCTTGCCCACCCTTTAGAGGTGCATTTTGGCTGGCTGACTAGAGTTATGTTCCATTTCGGCTAGCAGGATCCCATAGCAGTTATTATGAACGACTATTATGGGAGTGAAAACCACCAGTGAATGGTAAGCGCCCAGCTCAGGACTCACCTTAACGATTATCCTTTCTGCTAGTAATGTCCGTCCGTCCATATTCGTCAGTCTAACGACAACCCTCTTTGGTGGTTGATGTTTAATGCCTGAAGAGAACGCCTACAAAGCCATTTAAAATTCTCTTTTCCCTAGTGACTAATAGGATTTTCCGATTCTTCCAACTTCCCTTTTTCTTAGCTCTTCAAGACGAAAGTTTGAGTTTTGCAGCGCCATCGTCGTCATCCTTCTGAAAAATTCAATTAATGCAATGCAGTAACTTCTATAGCTGTACGGAAAAAANAAATGCCGCTACTCCCATCTGGGCGCCGCATTTTTCCCTAAGCTCCCACCCCCATTTCCTACCGCTCGATGAAGGGAAATACCAAAAACCCTGGTCCCTCTTTGCTTCATTCTTGAATCAATTCCTGGGCCTGTACCATACCTTCTTTCCATCTNCTGCTCTTTTTAGCCTAGCTTTTTGGTAATCGAATAGGAGCTTTTTCTTATTGAAATAGTCAAAATTAAAAAGCTTCCAAAACCAAAGGAAGCTAGATGGATGCAGCCTAGCACAAGATGCGCTGCTAGAAATATCTGCGATTTAGGAACTTTTTGAAGTAGCCAGATTGTTCATCATGGCGCTCGAGGGTCAGGGTTACGGTGCATCTAGATACTGATAGGGGTACCCATCTAGAGACTCTGAACGCCAAGCTTTCATCTAATCAGCTGCTTCGAATGCTAGTTACAGAGCATGGGCTATCCGGAAACTCCCTCAAGTGTACCTTTATGAAAAAAACCGAGTTCGTGGCAATTTACCAGAATTTGAAGGGAATCTGGAAGAAAATGAAAGTTTGCAACTCTCCTTTATTTCCAATTTTTCTAACCCGACACTCTATTACCTTTTAACAGGTGGAAATTGTTGAAGGATAGCTATAAATTGAGGAGAGCTCATGATCATTTTCTTATAAATTTGAATATTTACCTACCTACTGACCAATTTAGGTGAAGCATTCAACTGGGTGATGTTTGGCTTTGGCTGTATGTTTTTATTACAACGAACGTCATTTCAATTACATATATCTCGTCTTCGGGCTTTTTATTGCTCACGTCATTCCTCATTCAGTTAGATATATTGCATTTATTAGTTTAAGCGTTGCCAACCAAGGAAATGATTGTAAATGCCGCTACTCCCATCTGGGCGCCGCATTTTTCCCCAAGCTCCCACCCCCATTTCCTACCGCTCGATGAAGGGAAATACCAAAAGCCTGGTGTCTGTTTCCTTCATTCTTGGATCAATTCCTGGGCCTGTACCATACCTTCTTTCCATCTCAGGTCTGTCAATTGCCAGGCTCGATCTGATGCTATGTTGCTCTGAGGTGCTATGTTGCTTGTCGGTGTATTAATACCAGAACCAGTAGTATCAGTAACAAGTAATCACGAAACCGTGCTTAACTACCTTCAAATACCTCTACAATTTGGGGTGGACGTCGAATCCGTGGCTTTTTCTCATGAGATATCCACAGAGCTTTTTCAAGCATTGGGACATTGAAAAACATATGGACCTGCCTATGATTTTTAGAACTTAAATAAACTTTTAGATTCCTCCTTCTGCTGGGATAATTATAGCAAACTTGGGGATAACATAATAATAAAAGTAGCTCATTGTCGTGCACCGTCCTAGACTTAATGAATACTAAGTTCTGGCTCGATCGATACCCGTTCTTCCTCTACGGATCCATAGCATCCTTTTTGCCATCTCAAATTTGTAGATGAGAACTACCATATTTGATGGTGACTTTTGTCGGAGAAATCACTTAAATTAATGACTATGCATCTGTTTATCTTTGAAAACGCCAATATTTACACGTAGATTCATTTTGATGTCAATTCCGTAAGATGCCTGATCCTCTTATGAGCCTGCATAGAGAATTCCGTGCAAGAATCTTTCTTCAGAAGCTAAATGGAGTTGCAACACCTGCTGGTGCTTTGCTGCTACGGTGGTCAACCATTTGTTGATTTTCATCTCACACCAGCTCATTCATCCACTCAACAGATTGATCCAACCGATTGGCAAGCTAGTGATATTGCTGGTAAGTTGGTTTCTCTCCAAGTAGGTCATTACTAGTAACATTTCCTAACAGTTTAATATTTTCAGTTTTGTAAGTCTCGACTTTGATAGATTAGCTCGTATTTTTATTTTTTCTATATTTTATACATATATATTTATTTATTGAAACAATAAATAGCAACGTTATATGCTCCATCTTGATCATTAGGATCGGGAACCCTTCGAATCGCTTCCCATCGCCAGACAGTAGGGCAAAATAGATGGTTCTATCCATTTCTTCCGTACCAAGATTTAAAACTCCCGAAAAAACAATTTCAGCCCGTCATATATGTCTACCATTCATTCGGCTCAGTCTCCTAAATTTTAATTGAGAAACTAGTGCGTGGCGCATATAGAGGATATGGTCTCATTCCTCTATTTCCCTTGGAATTTCCTCTTCAACTCTGTCGATACCCTTGTAGGGCACTAAGCCATCCAAAAAGAACAACCTGGAGTCTCTGGCAAGGCCAATTGGACAAAACTTACAAGTTCTTACACTCACTTCCCATATGATGGTATGGCAGCACTGCCGTCCACGAATGTCTCAATTTTTGATTTTCTAGGCTTTGTTTTTTCTGTTGAACACCGACATTCTTTGTTCCTCAAGTCAGATATAATCAGGCGCAATTAAAGACATAATCAAGTGGATTCCGTTACTTATTTGTGATCGAAATTCGAATTCATTATCATGGTTTTATTTATAACTACAATTTGTTTGGCACTTCGTGACCTTTCAGACACTTACTTTTCTCTTATTTACCCCTATAATTAATTATTCCATGTTTACAACTTAATATTTTACTCCACACAATTACAGTAACAACGTAGGCTTCTAAACAATCTGGTATTACGGTATCTAATAAGTTCCGGACTGTTTCAAGAGCAAAGTTTGTTGTCATGCCTTATGCAAATACAGCGAACGTTGAGTCCTCGAACATTCGCGATTATTGAGATATTATATTGAAATTACAATAAAATACAGTATAACTCATGAGTTGCAGTGAAGTGCTGATCATGAATGACGTCCTTGCCATTGAAATCTTCAGGATCCCTGCTTGACAACGCATCCATCCCTTTGATTCCACATTTACGAGAAGTGCTCGATGTGGGAGTGTCACTATCGGTGTGCGACCTCTTCAACGTCACATTCACTACCACTGCCGATCAAGCGCTTTTCGACCGATATAAAGCAAATTTGGCTTGTCGGTGGGTTTTATGTTGTGAAATTTTTTCAATTTTGAATTTTTTTCTTTTTTTCTGAGTCATTTCGTTTTATCGAAGATTTGTTCTCGAAATAGTCGTTTTGGCTTTTTTCCTTAAAAAAGAGCTCTTACGTAGTGGTAATACACGTGGGTCGAGTTTGTACCGGCTTTTCCAATAAGTATTATTCATAGAACTGAACTGTCAAATGAAAAAAATAAAACAATTGAGAGATAAGGAACTTCTTTGAAATGAAGATCCCTTTCATGAATTCTCGAGAGAGGTTCAATCTTCCAGTTTGACTCCGAAAGCCCCAATGGTAAAGGTTATTCCCAGGTGTATGAATGTCTGCTCTATTAACTGCTTCTTTTCCGTTCGGGGCAGGGGAGATGGGGGGAAAAATGTTACTATTATCCTAATAGACAGGGGCTGAACCCAATTCCCCGTCTTTGCGGAGTCCTCCCCATGTTGTCGAGCTTTGCTAAGCTAGGTTTGTTTTACGGAAAAATTTCTTTGACTCTTTCAGCTGGAATGTAAACCCAACAACAGAAGTTTCTTCAATCTTTAAATTTTCGGTCTTCAAACTGATATTGCCCCTTGGGGTCAGATTCGTGAACAATTCAATTCCTTTACATTTCTATTCTAATTCTTTTAAGAGGGATTCGTGCTTTGCGATGTCCAATCTATGTTTTCCTTCAAACTGTTATCAACCACCAAACTATTATAAACTATTCAGGTTATGAACTCATATATCCCCTTCATGTTGACCGAAAAACTCCAAAAAAGCGGCGGCCCCATGTTACAATCGAAGCCGAAAAAGCTCATATTGCTGGTCAAATAAAGGCTGTTAACAATGGAACTCTCTCGTTGTTGTCGAGCGTAGATTGATCCTTGGATTCTCGTGGCGTGGTGGCTGAAATCCCGACATCCGATTGTTGTTTAGAGTGGTTTTTCCTGTCATTTGGCCCGAAGCAACAGATGTTGATGGGGTCGTGTGGGGATGAAGTTTTGTGGTCGATCTGAACGGAATAATTCCATTGTTTCTTAACTTTGGGGGACGTTTCTCAGGTTTGTTGACATTGTGCGATCCGCTTACCGATTCATCGGTGTCGCGTTACTCGTTTGCTGTTGGAATGATCATTTTTTCCCAGGCTCCCCCTAAGCCAAGCTTACTGTGCTAGAAAATCTGCTCGCGTGATGTTTTCAATTTCGTCACTGAACTTGTCACTCCTCAGAGCATATCAGAGTGTGGCAGCTGTCGTACTGGATCACTCTGTCTTCTGAAGGTTGGCATTCATTACTCACCGACAGGAATCTCGTCCACTTAACTACCTGTCATTTAAAGTGTAAACCGCTGGTCACCTTCTATTACACATTTCACTACTATCACTGCAAAGTTGTTGTGGGCGGCCGGGATTAGCGCAACATTAGCTAATAGATAACCAGCCAGCTGACTACACCACCTGACTGACCACCACCTATAGCGCTAGGAAGTTTATCAGATCGTTCCCGCTTTCTTCACAACGTCAGTTTCACTTTGGTAGGG